CTTCTCATGGGAAATAGATTCTGTTTTGGTTTTTACAAGACATAACAGATAAATAATTTCATGATTTCAAAAACTGGACACTAGGGAGTCTAAAGATTTTAGGTAGAGGAAAGATATACAGCTCTGCAAGATGGTGCAAAACATTATGATGATAAAAATACTGAAGGAGACTTTTGAGGAATGGAATCAGAAAATAGTAGCCACAATATCAACAATGTCAGTAATGATGTCTGCTTCTATGGATAGACTATGTCTGAAATATGTTATTGAAGAAATGGCAGATGCAGAACAAATTTTATCTGACAAGATAGAGATGGTATCAAAAGTGGATTTACAACTGATAGGCCAAGAGAATGATTTAGAAAGGATGTTTCACTGCATCCACAAAAGAAACTGGCTGTAGTTTTAACGTTTAAAAGGGAAATACAAATGAGAAACCAAGAAAGTGACCTGGATAATTTTGTCCTACTGGATTTACAAAAGAGGCTTGTTAAAGCCTTGAAGAACTCTGTGTGATGGGACAAGAAGAAATGAAGAGAAATCAAACCCTATGACAATTTGAACAAACTAAAGATTTAAGACTGTTAGAAGTAAAGGGAAGCAATATAAAGTTGGTTTATTTGATCAAGGTTACAATAAGACACATTGTTACTTCTGGCTACACTTTATGGACTTTCTGCTAACACCAGGATTGAAAAGATGATGCTTTATGGATTTATTTATAAATAAGAGATGGGATATGGGACAAAGAGATAAATGTTTGTAACTTTAGAGTGGGTGAAGAGTTACTAAATTTGTTTATAGTTGTTGTGATGGTTGGAAGTCACTTCTTTATATATTTCTTTTTCTTTATTATATTCTTTTTTTTCTCTTTTTCTTTTTCCTTGCACTTTTTACTTCTTTCTATTCTTTTTTTTTCTTTAGTTTGTATTAGATCTTACTATTGTAATCAAAATTCTTAATAAAAATGAGAGAGATAGAGAGAGTAATTGAGGGCGCAGTGGAACCTGGTTTGGGCTGAAAGATGAAAATATATACTGGAGCCAAATAGGATTTAAAGAAGCAAAGTAGGCATGGATGCAGGGGTTGGGGGGAGGAGGGAGGCAAGGAATGCTGTGCATTGTATGGTGGTTGGACAGTGATAAAAAACCTGGGCAATCTATTCCCCCTTTGCTATTCCCGGATGCACCCAGAGAGTGGGGAGGGAGGCGTAATAGCATTACCTGGTGCCTAGGGCGGCCTACAATGGAAGGGAAGACGGCTCGGGGGGCATCATCTCCAGCGAAGCCTGCTTTGACCAAACCTGAGCCATTATCGCACACCAAGGCGGTGGTCTCTTCGTCGTCACACATCTTGGGAAGGAAAGCGGGAGCTGAAAAATACAAGATCGGCAAAGATTCACCATCGCTGGTGGCAAGGTGGAAGGGGACTCCGCCTACCCGTTCGAGTCGCTGAGGTTGGGTCAGTTTGATCCTCCCGGATCTCTAGAAACCCTTCGCCTTAAGCCCGGATCAACAGCAATCGTACAAGTTGCTTCGGCAGGGAAGACGTTCAGGCGACGTGGGATTAGAGGCTGCTTTCCCTGCCAGGGTGCGCACTTAACAAGGATGGATCATCTTTAGCAGAAGGTCGGTCCCCGTTTGGCTGCGCTCCCTCAATACATCCGTTCGAGCGGCGGCACGTGGCTCTCGTTACTGTGCGGAACCCAGTCGCGCCACCAAATGATTTTCGCTGCGGCTGCTGGAGGTCCAAGAAGCATTTGGCGGCTCGCTCGACCCATCGCTTCAGCAGCTGCATTGCCGGATTGCCTAACCCGCTCGAAGTCGCCGCCAGCCATTGGGAGGTCGCAGGAATCCCAGGGAGTGTGCGGAATGCTGTTCCCCCCGCCCGACCCCCGCCCGAGTCCTTCCCTCAGACTTTTGCAGGACATACCTTTAGCATCTGGAGGGCTGCGTGTTTCTTCGGATTTTTGTTTCCCATAATGATGGGGAGGGGGAGCAAATACAAATGGAAAACTTGGCAAATTTAGCGCCGCTCACGGCAGACCCAGGAAGAACTCCTCGTAATGCGTAGCCGCTTCTTTTCCCTCATTGCGCAAAGAAATGGCGAGAACTGCGGGAGGGACAGGCAGTTCTTCCTAACCCTACAGAACTTCGAGTGCCAGGACCTTCTAAAATGCAGCATGGCGGCCACCTCCTCCGCGCCCATAGGATGGGAACCCCAATCCAACCGGAATGAGCGAAAGGACCGTAGAGAGATGAGATTTTAGCCCCTCTAGCTGTCGCCTTGGCTACCCTGAACTTGGCGCTTCTCGTGGTAGGGCAGCCTGTTTGCAACCGCTCCCATCCCCGCACCCGATTTGCAACCCCCGTCCCAGTCGTTCCTCACATGCCAACGGGGCGATGGGCAGAAACGGGGACGGTCAGCTGTGCTGTTGTTACTCACCGGCTCAACACTCTCTGCGCGGGGGTTCTGGAGCGCCAGCTGGGTCTTGGCTCGGGGGAAGCGCCACTCATTTATACCCGGCGGAGTGGCGGTGTCGCTCTCGGACTCCGAAGGGACCAGCCAGGCACCTTGTCCTTATTTGGTCGGCTTCACGCCATTGAGTAGCCGTGAGGCCATTAATGGAGTAGGGAAGGCAAAAAGTCACAGCCGGCCGAAACACTCGGGGCTCCACAGCCCTTGTAAGGAAAGCGAAGGGGTTGCATTCAGTCGGCAAAGGGGATGGCCAAATAGGGCACCCAGTTAAGACCGGGAGGATGTGGAAAAGGGGGGTCGAATCTCGCCATCCCACTTCTGGAGACAAGTTAAAAACGGTGTGTGAGTAAATGAATGGAAGTATGGAACTGACTTTCCCCATCACGGTAGTTTAAAGAATCTCAATGCATTAAGTTCTAGCTGCCACGGTGTCTGGCATGTGTCATCCTAGAGTGGGAAAAAAGCAACTGGACCAACAAAATCTAACATTTCAAAGAGCAGGGATGGATCCATTTAACATCTACACATGCTGATGTCTGTTTTAAAATCCCTACTTTCATTGTCCTTTAGTCCTGCCACACCTCATTGGTTGGTTAATTCTCTATTCTTAATTGTTCTACATGAAGAGACTTAATAAGACTTGTTTATGTACAAGATGTGTAGGATGCTGCAGCCACTGAGGCAAAATTCTTAATATGACATCATGTGCATTTAACCCATTAAATAAATTCTTTTTTTTCCCAGTGTAAATAATCAGGTAACTGTTGAAGAATATCCAAGAATTGGTTACGTTATACTGTTTCACATGTGTACCTCCTTTCCTGATGGTGAAGAGTGCCCCTCCAGCTGTGGTCCCTTACTAAGGTTCAGTATCTGTAGAAGGAGAAGATTAGAGGCAAGTGGGATTTCTGTGGTATTTAATTTATTTGCCTGCATGTACAAGAATATGAGATGATGTGCTGTTCCCCAATGGATTTCTCAGAAATCCACAGCACCATAAGATGTATTGCAGAGAAAAGTCATTTCTCTCCCCTTTCCTCATTTTTAATTCAGCTGCGTGATCTGTGAGATGCAAAAAAATTAGAATTCACTGTCTGCTAGTAACCAATTATCAAACCTTTTCTTGGGTGACTAAAAGTATAATCCACAGTCCAGACCTAAGAGGTAAGAAAGAGAGGGATAGTGCAAAGTTTTTATGACCAATCTACCACTGAATCTATACAAAGGTCTACTTGTAATAGCACACAGTGTGCATCCTTAATCAGCTGAAATTCCATTCTAACAATTTACTGCTGTGATCATGATGGGTGTGTTTAGATTTAAATTACTTTCAAGAATCTGAAAGGCATAGGTGAGCTGTTTCCATTCCCATCTGTTTCTATTAAATATCTACACATCAGTGCTACTTTTCACTTTATGATGATAGACATTCCTGTCATTGTGGCAATGACCCACCCAATGAAGAGATTTTTCTGACATCATGCACTGCCTATTTTAGCCAATCCTAGATACATATTTAAGAACTGAGGTACAGTCATGGTTTGGCAGCTTCCCCAATCCTCCAAATGTATTAAACTACACCTTTCATCATCGCAGTCATCCTTTGGCTTTCTAGCAGGGCTTGATGGGTAATGTGGTACATCTTCAGAATATTGCCAGGTTGGGAATATTGTACTGTGGAATTGTATTGTACTGGAAGTTGTGTCCAACTTATTTTACTACATGCATCATATGTTACAAGACTTCATTATGTTCACTGGAAATTATATTCTGAGTAGAGTTGTATGTAAGAAATGTTCTGGAATCCTTAGGAATGAACAGTAAATAAGCAAAAAGCACCATTCAGAAGTTTTTTGCATGCACAATGAATAGAGAAAGGAAGATCAGGTTTTCCCAATCAATTTGCCCCTCATCTATATGCATATTCTTAAAACCTGAAAGGGTTATGCATGTAAATGGTCCTTCCAGACTATCATATATATGCTTAAAAGTTGGCTTAGAATCAATGAGAACATGTAGTGTGGAAGGGAAAGCCCATTAGCACAGTCCCATTATCTCCATGTCGTTACTGTACATATTGAAGAGGTTTGAAAGGGACTATAATCCAGGGATGGGCAACCTGCAACCCATAATCTAATTTCACATCATTGTTAGTTCATTTTCAGAAATGCTTTCTAACTAATTGGTTCAAACCTCTAGCAAAATCAATCTGTCCTAGCTTATTGTTTGGGGGCGGGCGGGGAGAGACAACAAAGGGGAGTTCAAGAAAGATAAAAAGGAGATTCCAACTGGTTTTGGTTGTCATTCCACCAAATGCTCGCTTAAGCCTCGCCTACCACTACTTTATATCTCCTACATATAATTCCACAAGAACATCCCTTGACTTTAAAAAAAAGCTTCCTCACCATTGCTATGAGCAATATAGTTGCTGGGGATCAGGTGGCATATACATTTAATAAATTATGGTTGGTCGCACAGTCAGCCAGATGTTTAGACTGGATTTGGCATTTTTATCCACCTATCAAGTCCTTCCCAAGGACCTGGGATAGGCAAATGTTGTTTGATGGTGTTAAAGGTAGTGTTGTAGGTAGTGTTCCAAGTAAAGCTGCCATTTGCAATTTACTGATGGTGATTTTGTCAACGCTGATGGTGTTCAAGTGGTGCTGTTCTGGGATTTCACCTAAGGCACCTATAACTGTTGGTACTATCTGTGCTTTCTTTTGCCATAGTCATTCTACTTCTATTTGC